AAAAAGCAAGAGACCTTTCCCAAAGCTTCTCCATATATACTGGAAGCAGGCCACATCCTGAAGGCAATTCCCATCAACTAATTAACTGTTCACAACAGATTCCACCATGGAGGTGATCATACCACATCTAATGTCATCATGGGGAATAACTACATCCAGCTGCCAGGCCACCGAAAATCACAACCAAGCCAAGTTGACACACAATCTTAACTACCACAACTACTGAGGCAGTGGCTTCTCTGACCTTTCTTCACATCTTAACCTTTTATTTTTAGTTTTCTGCTCATTCTGTTTCCCAATTAAGAATTTTGAGAAAATAACCTAATTGACCAAGCTCATGGCTGCTATGATCTTGGTCACTTAGCAGAGCTTCCTGGGGTAGGTACAAACAGATAACAATGATTTATTCCGAATGGGCTAAGAGAAAGAAGAGATCCTGAACAACATCCCTAACAGTAACAGAATGATCATATATCAACTCCTGTGGCCATCTCTGAATTGGACTCAGAGTACCAAGATGTCCCATTAGGCAGTTTAGGCCTAGACCCTGATATCCATTGCCATTAAGTCAATTCCACATAGGAAAACTAGAACTGCCCCAGAGGTTTGTAGACTGCAAATCTTTACAGAAGCAGACTGCCACATCTTTTTCTCCTGTGGAGCAGTGGCTGGTGAGTTTGAATTGCTGACCTCTTGGTCAGTAGTCAAGTGCTTTAACCATTGCGCCACCAGGACTCATACAGACCCTGATAGAGTCAGCAAACATGATAGTCACAAAAACCTACTGGGTACAACTGTGACATATACTCTGCTGCATAGTGAATTTTACTAAGTGTCTTTTGGCATTTATTGAGATTAATCATGATATACAGAGTCTCTCCTTTCACTTCTTAATATGGTGTATTTTATTAAAGTATTTCCTACTATTGAACCATCTTTGCCTTCCTGAATTATATTTGGTTTTGATATAGCTTTCTTATAATGTACTGCTGGATTCTATTTGTTGTTGTTGTTGTTGTTTGCCGTCGAGTCGGCCCCAACTCATAGCGACCCCACCTTGGGTTTCTGAGGCAGTATCACTACGGAAGTAGGATTGGATTCTATTTGTTGTTGTTGTTGTTGTTTGCCGTCGAGTCGGCCCCAACTCATAGCGACCCCACCTTGGGTTTCTGAGGCAGTATCACTACGGAAGTAGGATTGCCCAACCTTCCTTCCGAGGAGTGGCTGGTGGGTTTGAACCGCCAGCCTTCTGGTGAGCAGTCAAGTGCCTTAGGCACTATGCTACCAGAGCTCCTATGGATTCTATTTAATAATACTTTATTCAGGTCAGTGCAATTTAGCTCATTTCAAATTCCTGCTAAATTGCTGTTTGTGTTCTGAGTATTGGTGGTTCATTGGTGAACAACAGAGACACTAACATCCTGCCCTCAAAATGGTCATATCACTATCCTAGATTTCAGTGAATATACCCACTTTTCATAATTTCTTTTTATCCATCTCATCTTATACAGGCAACTAAAGATTATTAATTTTGAGGCAAGATAAGTACCTAGATTTCAATTATTTTATATCAAATTGCATCAAATAAACAAACTAAGTGACTGCTTTTTTGGTCAGCAAGATATAAATTTCCAGTAATATCTACTAATAGTAATGACTATTATATAGGTCATTATCATTTTATCAAAAAAAAAAGCCTCTTTAATCGTATATATTAAAATAGCCCAAAATGGAAACATCCCTAAGGTTTTGACCTGATCCTTTTGCTGAAATAAGTAATATGATGGACGTTAACACCAAAGATAGAAATATATTTGAATTCATCAACAGAAGAACTGAGAAACTTTCAGGCTGAAGTAGAGCTTTGTCTTATGTGTCTTATTTTAGTCTAGTCCTATCAAGCATTTTAAGTCAGCGGAAAATACTATACTTAAACACCCATTATTAATTTAATTTGATCCACACAACAAACCAAAGTAGTAGGTAGGGAAGGTACCATTTGATAATGATGAAAATAATCATCTACGATTTTTCAAGTACAGAGAACTAGTAAGTTGAAGAGTAAATAAATAGCAAAACCAAGATCTCCTGACCTCACACTAAGGAGGCAAGATCCAGAAACTGAGAGCAGAATTTAAGGCCTAGAAATCAGAACTACAAAATAACCCGAGGATGAGAAGTATCAATTCCCAACTGCAAGACAGCATTGGTTTAAAACTCAAATGAAATAAATTCACGATATACCAACATTTTCTAGAATGCATGTAAACTAAAATGTAAGGGATATATATTTATATTACCTAAAATTAACCTGATAGTCTAACTATTCAAAGTACGTTTAGTAAGCCTTTTCATATTGATAATCAAACATCAACAAAACTGCTAGATTGAATTAGCCATTAGATTCTAACGGATGCCATTAACAGATGCTATAGCATCTAACAAATGCTATGTTAGTATAATAAAATTTAATTAATATAGTTTCATTTCATAAAGGGAAGCCCAAGGAACCTCATATTAATCTCAACAAATGCTTTACTTACCTAACAAGATATAAACTCAAATATATTTTCTTACCATAATATTATAGGTGACATTAATGGTCTCATCTTCCAAGGAGGCATTCATTTGAGCAAGTTTAGCATCACTCTTTCCCTTCCTTACCACATCATAGATGGGATTTCGAGGTTTCTGGCTTTGTAGAATCTTTTTCAGATGTTTTTCCAGAAGCTGTGGAGCATTGTTAACTACTTCAAAAACTCCATACTCTGCATTAAATCTAATTGCCTCTGAAAAGGTCTGTAAAATAAATATTTGAAAATATTCTTAAAATTTTAAAAAATAAAAAACTCAATTTCTAAGAAGCCTTAACACTTACATATGTGTATATATAGATATATAAGATTTCATGTACTTAATCAGTCCCTCTTCCCTTTTAAAAGCTTGAAGATCCCTTGGCTAGAGGTAAGGGAATTAGTGAATCCTTCCTTTCCAATGTACTCTTCTTATGAGATAAGTGTCAAGGTACATTATGACAGAAATTCTCATTGTATAAACATCTTACCTCAGTCGTTCTGTGAAACTGGAGAGCGAGATATACCTGATCTCTATGAAGCAAGGTGATCCTCTTAGAAGGGGATGGAATAGTATGGAAGAATAAGTAAAGGAAGAAGAAACATTGTCCCCATTATCTCTCTCATCCCGAGGAGCCATGAAAACTAACAGTCTCCATTGCCCAAAAGGAGAAAATTAACTTCAATATGTTCTTCATTTAAGATTATTTCAACACGATTCCTCTCAGTGTGACCCCCCCCCCCAAAAAAAATAGTGAAAGAGAACAACATTCTAAGCTTTTCTCTGTAAGTACTAAATGCTGCCAACATTTATTTAAACCCAGTTGCAGTGGTTAAAGCACTGGGCTGCTAGCCAATAGGTTAGTGGTTCAGACCCACCAGCCACTCTGCGGGAAAAAGATGAGACAATCTCCTTCTGTAAAGGTTTACAGCCTTGGAAACCCTATGGGGCAGTTCTACTCTATCCTGTAGCATCACAATGAGTTGGAATCAACTTGATGATGGATAATATACAACAGTAGAAAGAGAACTAAGTCAAGAGATGAGAGTTGGAATACCACCTTGACATTAAGTAGATCTGTGACTTTGGATAAGTCACTGAACATCTTTGGGGCTCCCATCTCCGTAACACCAAATAAATTGTCATAGGGATAGATTGGCTACATCTTTTCTCATTTTGGCCTCCAATTCTAGAATCTGGTTCCTTTTTCAGAATATTAATTTATCTTGGGGTAACTTCAGTGAACTGCCTACATGTAGATTGATTTAAATATGGTTAGCCGGATGGTAGAAGACACTAAAGTCTTCCTCTTGGACCAGTAAATGTCCTAGAGAGAGCATTAATTCTTTCAACTTTTACTAAGGTATTGCTAGATATACTATAATTATAATTTAATAAATGGCAGGAAGTCATTTTAAAATTAGAGCTAGAAATATTATACACACACACACACACACACACAAAACCAAACTCACTGCCATCAAGTTGGATCTAACTCACAGCAACCCCTCCTTGGGTTTCTAAGGCAGTATCACTGCAGAAGTAGATTGCTCAATCTTCCTTCTGAA